GGGGGGTTTGGAGCGCTGGCTTGCTTCGAACTCTGGAGGTATAGCCGCTTGACGCTCCTGCATGCCGCCTCTCACGCTCTAAGGCTGCATAGCGATGGTAGGGTGGGAGGTGGTCGTGGTCCCCCCTTGCACACAGCGCCCTGCAGACCGTGCCGCTGTGGAGGCGGTGCGGCGATCTCAGGCGCAGGCCTCCGCGCCAACTCACTCCCACCGACCTCCTTTCCACATCCCCTCGCCGCCTGCCAGGCGGCGGCCACATGGTTGTGGTGGGCACGACCTCGTCCCCAGACAGCCTGGACCCCGCGCTGCGCCGCCCCGGGCGCTTCGACACCGAGATCCCGGTGCCCGTGCCAGACGGGCCGGCGCGGGTGCACATCCTGCGAGCGCTAGCGGCGGGCCTGGGCGCAGCGGCTGGCCTGGACCTGGACGAGCTGGCGCTGGGCTGCTTCGGCTACTCCGGCGCCGACCTGGCGGCGCTGTGCCGGGAGGCCGCGCTGTCCGCGCTGGGCAGGGTCGCGGGCGGCGCGGGCGAGGGTTCGGGGATGGAGCCGGGGCCTCGGAGTCCCCGACAGGGAGCCGGTAGCCCAGGCCCCAGGGAGGAAGATGTGGTTGTAACGATGGAGGACTTTGAGTCGGCGCGCTCAAAGGTGGTCCCCTCCATCACGCGCGGGCTGACCCTGGACTTTGTGCCCGTCGCCTGGGACCAGATCGGCGGCCTCCCGGACATCAAGCGGCGCCTGCGGTGCGTGGCGGGTTGGAGGTCTTGCATGGGGGGAGGGCAAGAAAGGCGTATCTCAACAGGGCACAGTGGCACCGGCAGGCAATGCAGGCACTTGCCACTGGGGTACAGTTTGGTGCCTCGAGGGTCTGGTCGCCCTACCTTTTGTTGGGAGCAAGGTCTGTAACTCACACAACACCCCTGGTCACGCCTGCCCCACGCACACACCAGGCAAGCGGTGGAGTGGCCGCTGCAGCGGGCGCCAGCCTTCCAGAGGCTGGGCCTGGTCCCCCCACGCGGCGTCCTTCTGCACGGTCCCCCCGGCTGCAGCAAAACCACCCTGGCCCGGGCCGTGGCCACCTCCTCCCGGGCCACCTTTGTCTCGCTCAGCGTGTCCCAGCTCTTCAGCCAGTACGTGGGCGAGGGCGAGGCCATCCTGCGCCGCGCTTTCCAGAGGGCCCGCCTGGCAGCCCCGGCCATCCTTTTCCTGGACGAGGTGGACGTGCTCGTGGGTGTGTGGCGTGCTTGTTGTGGTGGGGCAGCGTTTGTGGCTGTCATGGGTGGTGATTTGAGCAAGTGATGCTGGGGTCGACGGGCCATCAGCCGGCGGGCGATTCATGGGGAGGGCAATGTTTGCTCCCGCGCAGAATGCGTGTAGATGCTGCCCTTCAGTCCTCACTCGTGAACCCACACCGTGGCCTCGACCCAATGCCGCTTTCCTCCTTGGCCATGCGCAGGGCGCCGCAGCGAGGGCGAGCAGACGCAGGACGCCACGGCCCGGCTGCTGTCCACCTTCCTCACCGAGATGGACGGGCTGGAGGCCGCCAGGGGGGTGCTGGTCCTGGGCGCCACCAACCGTCCCTCCGCCATCGACGCAGCCATGCTGAGGTGGGGCGCCGCGCCCGGTCGTGCTGTTTGCCTGTTGGTGGGGGGCGGGGGGCGGTCGTGGGGGGGACACAGGGTCCCTCGGCGCCAGTGCACTGCCTGTCGCGCGAGTGTCGCGACCCCACACCACAACCCTAGGCCCCACCCGAGCAGGCAAGGGCGACTCGCCAGGGCCCCCCTGTGCGCCGCGCATGACACACGGCCATGCCCCCTTGCTGAGTCGATGACCACCTCAGCACAACCCCCCTCCTCCCCGATGCTTTCCTCCTTTCCACCCCAGGCCCGGCCGCTTCGACGTCGTGCTGTACGTGCCCCCGCCGGACCTGGAGGGGCGGGAGGCCGTGCTGCGCATCCACTCCCGCGGCATGCCGCTGGCGCCGGGCGTGGACCTGCGGGCCCTGGCGGCGCGCACCCAGCGCTACACGGGCGCCGAGCTGGCGCAGGTGTGTCGCGAGGCGGCGCTGGCTGCGGTGCGCGAGGACGGGCCGGAGAGGTGGGTCGGCCCGGCGCACTTTGAGGCCGCGCTGGAGGAGGTGGCGCCGGCGCTGAGTCAGCACGACCTGGACAGGGCGGCGGCGTGGAGGCGGCGGCCGGCACCCGCGCCCCTGCCCTCGCGAGCCCCCGGTCCTCGCAATGAACCGACGGCGACGGCGCCGTGACGGGGCGCGAAGACTGTACACGGTGCGGGGGCCCGGCGTCTCCAGCCCAGAGATCAGGCAGCTGGGGCAAGGTTCAGCGCGGCAGCAGCAACGGGGCATCGCTTGGCACAGACCCACTGTCCCTGATACCTGCTCGGTTCCAGCATGGGTGCAGCACGACCCCTGCCTGCTGATGGAGGGCGGAAAACTCGAGCCATCATCAACCTTGTCCTCAGGGGCGCTGCCGCCTCTCCAGCGCGCCCACGTAGTCCCGCGCCCACTCCGTCAGCAGAGACCTGAGCTTTCGGTGCGCGTTCCGCGGCACCGCGGCGGCAAACACCGCGGGGGGCAGCGCCGGCTGGGCGGCGCTGTACGCGCCGGTGATCTCCATGACCTCGCTGGCGTGCATGCCGAGCAGGACCAAAGTGCGTGGGCTGCCGGATCCGTCCTCGTAGACGATGGGGCGCCCCGGTCTTTTCCTCTGTGGGGAAAGGGTGTGTGAGCAGAAACGCGTGAGATTCGACCAGGGAAGCTGGAGCTGCCCAGAGTAGATACATCAAGGCCTCACCTCTGAAGGGCCCTCCCTTGTCTTGAGCGCTTGGGACAGGGGCATGTCCAGCATTCGGTCGGTGGCCACGATGAGCTCAACCATGTGGGCATCCAGTTCTACCAACAGCGCCCTCAGCTCTTCCAGCTCCCTGGGGCTGAAACCCACCGCCAGCATCGCCTGAGGAGGATCAAGGGAAGGAGTCGGGTTCCACGACATGCATGGGCCATGCACGTGTCGTCGACATGCAACTCCGAGCAGGCGGGTGCACAGATGCGGCTACCAAGTTGTCGCTCGGCCCCTCATGCTCATGACCTGGTGATCCCTTCCCCACCACCTCAGGAGAAAACTCGCCATGGGCCCACTCGGGTTGGCGGTGGGGAGCTGGTATCCCTCGTCAAGTCGAACGATGCTCTCGTCTCCTAGATACGCATGCAAGCTTGCAGCGGTGCGCCTCTTCGATGTCTGCGCCGATGTGGGTGTCGGGACACGGGGACTCTGCCATGGCACACTGCCCTGTCGGAAAGGTGACCCACATATGCGCGGATGCAGCGTGGCCAGAACAGCCGTCATTGATGGTGCTCTGCTGATGGAATTATGTCGAGGAGGCATATGATGGGTGACGAAGCTAGCTCGTGCTTGTGCATGGTGTGGGTGAGCGCGGAAAATGCTTGTAGGTACTTCAGTGTCGGTGAACACGTGCTGGCAGGATCCGGTTCGGGCCATCATAGGCGCCATTCCTCATGCATGCCTGAGAACCAAATTAAGAAACTAAGTCGTAGCCAACCTTAATGGGATTGGATGGAACGTACTGTGGATGTGCTGCGATGTACGTTCTTGCAGGGATTGCCCGGAGGGGAAGGGTGTCTCCCTGGACACTGTGCAAATCTGACCACCCGGGACTACACTGAACGCCAAGTCTGACGCCATTCGAGCCCCCTCGTGTTTTAAAACGGAGCTGAAATGCGAAATGCCGCTCGATCAGGCTCCGAGAACCTCAGCTTGGACGGCTCCCAGTTTTGTCACTTCGCGAGGCCTTGTCGTGGCCAGTCGGGGATGGGAACGTACCGCACGAGGCGATTTTCATGTTAAACCCCACAGGAAGGTAGGCTATCGAGTGCAAGGGCGATGGAATGCAATCGGCTCATATTGATCGTGCCCGATGCCCCCCATCGGGTGTTGAAAGACCGAGAGGGGCCTCCTCATATCCTTCTTCCTTCCAATGTGCCAGAGGGAAGGTGGGGTACAGATGTTCTCTGCAGCGAAACTTCTTGAGCTTCTGGCTTCCAGGTCCCATCCCAGGCAGTAAGCGGTGGGTGCTTATGCCATGCAATGTCAGAGGGGCCATCCTAAACCCAAACAAGGGAACCCCTTAATGATTGATTCCAGCGCAGATTGTGGTCAAAATCAGATGTAGTGGCAGCTTTAAAAATATGGTCTATTGCTGACACGCATCCTTTGTCTGGGCTCATCTCCACCCCTGCTGGGAACTCTGTACCAGACCTTCCTCAACGGAGAGCTTCGAGGCAGGGGAGGAGTCAGGTCTGAAACTGGCCGTCACCATGTGTGCAAGTTGCATATCTGGCCCAATGTGATGCTGTCACAATCCGGGAGTTGCAGCTGGCCGCACACCTTTCTTCATACTAGGATTGAGCGTGTCAAAAGGGTACCAGGCCGCTGCAATGGATGGCGGCCCGGTGGCCGCGTTCCTACGGGCCCGAGCCCTTTTCGCACCTACTGGGCATGGCCTTGGTGACTGAGAAGACGTTCGCACTTGGGTTCCATATCCGAAACCCTTATCGGTATTTCCGCCCTGTGCTACCACTCCACATGCAGGTGAGATTTGGGCAGCTGATTGGTGAGGAATTGGCGTTGGTGCGCTGCGGCTTGATGGCGGGTTTGATGGCCAAGCTGGTCGTGAACGAGCAGCCCCGAGACTCGCTACGGGCAAGAGTATGGCGCGGGGGAGGACTGCCTTCACACATCCATTTCCCTAGGGGCCAACGATTTCACGATATAGCGCTCATTGCCTGGTCCATCCGTCAGGTGAAGCAAGCCCAACGCCCTTTTCACACTAGCGAGTGGTTTCACCAGTCGCTCGAGAGCGAGGATGTCCGTGGAGACGCTACTGCTCGGAAGATACTTCAACAACTTTAAATCAATTCGACAAACATTGGCAGGCAAACAGTTGATTTGAGACGTTCATCGGAGTTTGTTATGTACGATCATGCTCCGCATGAGTTGACACATGAGGCAGCCGGAGGGTCGTCCGGATGC